GGAGGAAAGTGAATGAGCGTTCAAGAAGGACAAAGAGGGAGGGGAGAGAAAGGGAGTTACCACCGTCTTGGCATCGCTCTTCCTTTCAAACCTCTGTGTAATGATATTGTTTGCAGTGATGCTCAGACAGCGAGCACCTGCTGCTCTGTAATGATTCAGCCTCTTTCAGCCGCCGCTGTAACACGACAGGATGCTGCCGCTACTGTCACTTCTGCCGCTGCCGCTGTTGTTACAGATTTTGCTTTTGCTCCTTCTACCGCATGACAATTGTTTTCCTCGTCTAAGCAGATACCAGCCTCAGATGCTCAAGGTGAGAGTCTTGCCTTTCGCTCTGGGCTATTGGTTCACTTAATCCGTCAATTTGTTCCGTGTTCGTGGTTTTCTTTCTCTTGTCGCCCTCCTTCCCCGTTTTGTTTTGTTGTGCTTGCTTTTGGGGGGATGTTTCTTCCCTCCCACAGAAGACCTGGAATTGCTTGAGAGGTGTTTAAGGAATTATAAAAGTGGCCACCAAACAGGAGCTCAGTAATTGCAAAGCTACTCTTGCTTCAGAGAGGCAGAGAGAGTGACAGAGAGCTCAAGGGCAGGGGGGATAGGGGAGATCTTATTTTTCCTGTGCGTTACTTCTCTCCCAGTTCGGATGATGTTGCTGAGCTCGGACCTTTTGTTGACTCCCACCCTGTGATTTTTGCAGAGCGCTGTGACTATTACTACCATCTCTTTTTGTCTGTGTCTCACAGTAATGGACTGTGATAGAGTTAAGGCCTTTTGGAGGTGAGCTGTTTGAGAGCTGATGCTTAAACATGTCTGAAGTAGCTGCCGACACTTTCCCCAGCCCCTCAGCTCAGCTGAGCCCTGACGCGTCCCTCGACGGGCTCCCGGCTGAGGAGAACATGCCGGGGACCCAAAGAGAGGACAGGAGGGTCCAGGGGCTAGCAGGCCTGGCCGCAACCTGCTGTGTGTGCCTGGAGGCAGAGCGACTGAAGGGCTGCCTCAACTCTGAAAAGATCTGCATCGCCCCTATCCTGGCATGCCTGCTCAGCCTTTGCCTCTGCATTGCTGGCCTCAAGTGGGTCTTTGTGGACAAGATTTTTGAGTATGACTCTCCTACCCACCTTGACCCTGGGAGGATAGGACAAGACCCAAAGAGCGCTGTGGATCCTACAGCTCTGTCTGCCTGGGTGCCTTCGGAGGTGTATGCCTCACCCTTCCCCGTACCTAGCCCCAAGAGCAAGGCTGAAGTGACAGTGCAAACTGACAGCTCGCTCGTGCCCTCCAAACCGTTCCTCCAGCCTTCTCTGTATAACCGCATCCTAGATGTTGGGTTGTTGTCCTCTGCCGCACCTTCGCTGTCACCACCTGCCCTGGAGCCTACCACAGCGTCTCAGGCACAAGCAACAGAAACCAATCTTCAAGCTGCTCCAAAACTTTGTAAGTAGAAGCTATGTGTTTCTTTGTTTCTCCTTCCACAAAAAAAAAAAAAAAAAAAAAAAAAAAAAAGAAGCACTTAACTGTTCTGCTGCTGTCCTCAAGGAGGACATGTGATTGGCATGCAAAGCTTAAATGTGCTAACATGGGTATAGCGTGGGTTACGTTCTGAGGAGAGCACCTAAGAGCCTCTGAACTTAGCTCAGAGATGTGCACGACAATGAAGAGGGCTTCATTTGGGACTTTGTAAAGTGCCAGTACCACCCTTTTCTCTCTATCGACTTGTAGTGAAGTATGTGATTCACTTCAAGGGTTTATCTGATACCTATTCCACATGATCTATCAGCATATTTTTCTTATAAATTTGATTTGTGTCCTGTGCTGGATCTTCCATGTGTGTTCATTTTCTTTGCCTTGCCTGCAGAGCACTTCTGCTACCTTCTTCCTGAAGTCTGTTGCTGGCAAACATCCCTGTCATCCTCCTGAAACAGTCAGAGAGAACAGTGGGAAAGAGCAACAGCATATTTGAAGCAGTTAGAGACCGGGAATTATTAATTTAGCAGTTAGCTTATGATCTTTCCCTTTCTCTTAAGAGCATAGGACACATTTCTCTGCATCTTTCCTCTCATCCAGGAGCTGATTCTTCTTGAACATGTTTCTCAGACATTGCCTCGTTGACTTTTGTGGGGTATTTCAGGAAAGCATTTTTGCCAGTGCAGGAGGGGTCAGTTTCCAAATTAGTCTTTGCTCATCCTTAAAGCAAAAAATATGCAGGGTACCTGGATTATTCTGTCAACAGCAATCATAAAATGTCAAAATACCGCATTGCTGAAGTGTAATTTCTTTGACATTTATTGTTTTAACCCATCAAATCTGGATCTGATCAAGCCAGCAATTTGTAAGCCCTGTAAAATTGTGCAACTCTAGTAAAAGAAAAGGCAGTGTGCTGATGTGCCAAGAGCGCAGGGCTGAGGTTTCCTTTGGAAAACTGCAGTGATCAGAATGAGCAACCTTGTTCCTCGCAAATGGCTTTGCAGGACCCCATCTCATTTATTCTCCGTGGTGCCTTCCCAGTAATGCCGCAGAATGGCCACCTGGCAGGTGGTACAGGAGGTAGAACTCACCCTGGAGCCCTGAAGTCACCAGAAGTTCACTACTAAGCTTAGCCCCACTAGGACTGGACTCCGTATAGGTATGTGGCAATTGGACTAGATATAACATTGTGGGCCAACCACCTTGTGGGTGAAAATGAGCATAACTACAGTGATTTCAGTGGAGGGCCTTCCAGCTGAGAGTCAGTCCTGAACAGCAATTCCAAAATCACTGAAAGAAAATTTTAAGTATTCCTGTAAAAGCCCTGCTGGTTTTGGCTTAGATAATGGGTGACAACCAGCCTTTGGATTAAAAGTAATTTGTCTGATGGAAACAGTCTAATATAGAAATATTGCTGTACAATTAAATGACGGGGGCTTTGTCTGTGGGAAGTAAGACATCATTACTTGAATTATTGGGGCACTTAACCACCTTTGCAGTTACATAGAACTGTACTAGGTGACTTATTTATTTATTTATTTATTTATTTATTTATTTCTGATGCAGAAAATGTTTTTTGTAGTGTAGATATCATAAGTGACAGCACTTTTTGCTTCATAAAGTGGCCAGGGACCACCAGTCAAAATAACCTCTCTTGTGCAAGAAGAAGAAGAAGCAACCAAAAGCTAGTTATGCCCAGACAACCCTCACTCTCTTGAATTTCCACACATGAGGCAAGCCTTTATCAATAACCTGCTAAATTCATCTCTGAAGTAAGTGAAGGGGGGAAAAAAAGAAGTTCTTTGGAGCAGTCGCTGACAAAAAGCCATTGTCTGCATTCAGATCTGCTCATATCTGGGAAATAAATGGTTGTCCAGAAATTAGGTGATTGGGTTGAGTTGTTGTTTGGTTTTTTTACTATTGCCTTAATTTTTTTATGATAAATGTGTGTTAAGGCATCATAGATTTCCAGACTGAAAAGAGAGGGAGAACCAGCAGCAGGTCATGTTTGGGTTGCTCTGAGGGAGAAGGTTGTGTAGACAGTATTTACTTTTAACTGTGGCATATAATTCTGACTATGGCAAGGGGCTGCAAAGGAAAATAAGAAAATACAGCTGGAAAAACTACACTGCAGAAGATCTGCCTAAGAATTCAAAGAAGCATTGAAAGAACTTTTTGGACAGCTCTAAAAACACTGTCTTGGGGTTTTTGAAACAGCTGCATTTCAAACACATCATTGTGTTTTATGTAGAGCAAGATTTGTTGGAGAGGTTGACACATTGCATCAGTGATAACTTTTTTTTTATGAATGCCTTTGACAGCTATAAAATTCTCAGAGAGATGGCTTGCAAAGTAGCATCTGCAAATTGGATTGTCCCTTCTTTTGCCTCTCAGTGTCCTTTTTTCCATTTCAGGCAGAGTGAGGTAACTTGTTCCCAGAAAGCCCCTTTTGTGCTGATAAATTTTTTTTCCAGTGCAGAAATAAAAAACCCCTGAAACATCTCATATTCTGTGGCTGATGTATTGTTTCTGAACCAGGCCCTTCCATGAGTTTCCAAATCCTTTTCTCTTCTTCTCCTCCTCCCTTTCTGTCTTACTCAGCATATTCCCCTTAAAGCTGTATCCTTCAAGGTCATAGTCTGCTGAGAGCTAATTGATTCTTCTTTCTCCTGGAGCCTGGGAGAGAAAGCAGAAGAGAGACAATCCTAGTAATTGTGTCTGGTGCATTAGATTCAAGACTGGTCTCACTCCTATTATTGTACTTTGCCCCTTATCGATACAGAAATAATCTCTTCCTTTCTGTTTGGTTTCCATTTTATATTGTAATATCATTTCTCCTTTGCTGAAAGAGAAAGGAAAGGTGGATGTTTTAAAGCATTCCCATATTTAGGGAGCGTGTCAATCTTAGCGTAATTACACTAGAGAAGATTTCATTACAAGCAGGATATAATATTATACACTAACCTACAATCTCCCTCCCTCTGAGAAGACATGCAGATTGTAAAAGCACTAACACAGTTCGGGAGCTAAATTTTACTTCTTCCTACACCATCACCTTTAAATACAATTCCACCCTTTACCCAAGCTGATAATAGATGCGGCTCTGTAGTACTGTCAAAACAGTGTTTTTGTAATAACTGCATCTATATATCTGCAAACCAGCCACTCCCCTCTTTACCGGTCTTCCCACTGCCTTTTCTTTCCATTTAAGCAGATTTTGCCTCAAACCACCCACCAAGGTCCACGTGGCGTTGCCTTTCTGGGGTGACAGCTCTTCCAAAGGAGTAGAGTGCTCCTGCATTTTGGCTCTGCCTCAAAGCAGAGGAGCCTGAGCCCTTGGCTTTGGGATCACAGCTCTCCTGACTTGGTGAGGTGCCATGGGGCACACAAGAGGCAGAGCAGGACATAGCCCCCAGCACGACGACTTTACTGGAGTGGCTTTCTGTGAGCAGAGCAAAAGGGCCGGCGGACGGCAGGGTCCAAAGGATGCGTCTCCATGGCAGCACGGCCATGCTGCCCCTGCATCCTTTCCACTTTTGACTTCCCTGGCCACCTCGAGTGCCGTGCACTGTCAGGCCAGCTGCACGCCTTCCACCATGCTGGTGGCCAGTAGGTGACCAACAGGCATCTCTGCATCTCCCTACCTCTGTGCCCACTGAGTTTTGCTGGCCACACGCAGAGGTGGGAGGGTGGGTGCAGCCCCAGACCTGTGCATGCCCCTCAGGCGCAGGCAGGGCTCCCTCCTACCTCACCAGTGCTGGCCCTCACCTGGAAAACACGGTAAAGCGGAGAAAGGGCTGTGCACTGCTGTCAACCACCCCTGACTGGGACTGCTCCCTTCTCGTGTTTCTGATTTCTGCTGCCACTTCAGCTGCGCTGGGCCAGCATCAGCAAAGGCTGCTGCTCTCTCATCCTCAGTGGAAAAAGTGTTAAAAGAGTGCCTCTGAGGACTGGTGGTGGGCGTTTACCTAGGAAATGGTCTCAGCTCCCCTCCAAAGTTATCCAGGCATAATGGCTGAATTTCTTTTCTTTTTACAGCTAGGGATGGGAAAAATGGAAAGAAAGCTAGCCCGTCCCTTGTTTTGGTATCATACTGTAAATATTCATGACAATTTCTGTCTGCCTCTTTCACCTCTGCTTGTTCATTCTCAGCTCTTCATTTGATATCCCTTCTCCTGTACAAAGTGATTTGTGAAGGTCTGTATTTTACCTCTCTGGCAGGCTGGAAGGAGCATTTCCTTCCGGTTATAGGTGCTGCAGCCCAGCTGAAGGCTTAGATTTATGGACAGCAAGGGTTTGTTCATAACAGCTTCACATGGTATTTGTTCTTTTTCTTGAAACAGACTAAGTCTGATCCATGCTCTGCAGTTCAAATCCCCATCACAACGCCATAGGGTTGAGTCCATGCCTGCCACCCTCTGAAAGCGTCAAGGTCAGGGATGTCTTGGAGAGCCGCAGGGGATGGTACTCGCAGGAGGGTAGAGCAGATGATACAGCACAGGCTATATACCAGCTTTTTCACCGCTCACTGTTATTATGCAGGGCAGCACTACAAAGGAGATGATTGTTTTTTCCCCAAATCTTGAAGATGCAGGAAAATAGCACCTTAAAGCAGACGTTGCTCCATTTCTGATAGAGTATTGATGTTGATTAGCTTCAGATACCTGACTTAAGTGCCTACATTAGGAAGCTAGGTGGCCTTCAGCTTCCTATTCAGCACAAAGGAAGAGATGTCCCCCAGGCAATTCCCAGCGTGAGTCTAGCAGGAGTAAGTCTTTTTTTCTAATGAGTGTACAGGGAGACAAACCTTGCAATTCACTTCCTAAGTTAAATGTCTGCTACACAATATGAAGACTCATTTTTGAAAGCCATGACTTTTCTTTGACATGTCCCGTGAATTAACAATATCTCTTCACAGGAAAGTTATAATTAAACATGGTTAAGATACCAGACAAGTTCTAAGCCTAACTCAAGAGCG